CAGGAATGTAACATAAGTATTTGAAAACATGTGCTATGTTTTAAAATGATAGATGAAGTTGGTCAACTGTGCTGATTCAACAAACCACCTTCATTCAGCCCCCAGATAGGTAGTGAAGCACGAGGCACAATCACCTCATGGTGTTGAATATAGTCTTACTGCCCTATTCAGAAGAGTTCTCTCCATTTGAAAGCAGGGCAAGGATGGTTGAATGAACGTGGGTGACTCAGGATGGAAAGCATTCGTTCCATTTTGTTCAAATTATTAAAAACCATGACTGCATATGATTCAATCCACTGCTTACTCCATAATGACCCTGCTAACTATACCCAATTAGCCAACACCTAGAAAAGCAATACTTCAGACTGAATGTAAGATCCAAAATGTCATACTCCTTAAAGAATTTCAATGCAAGGGGAAAAATTAGAACTACTCACAAGTTCCTACACTATTTGGAATGTTTTCATTAACAAACTAACAGGCCGAGGTCCCCGAGTCACAAAAGTGTAGCACAAACACTATGATGTTTGCTTGAGTCAGTGCAAATAGAGGTACTGAAGTTGTCAAATGGATTAGGCAGCTCTGATTATCTAAAGGAATTCTTTGGCCTGCTGCTTTAAAAATACTCTGAATCCAATCTGTCTGCAAAAGAACTCTTCCACTTCTGTCTGTGGAAAAAAGAATTACAAAAACTGCATGTACGGAATGTATTTGGGTCAAGATAAAAATGGTTGAATATTAGCATTGAAATGGGATTTCTTTTTCCAAATCAATTAACTAGCAGGGAGTGAAAAGGGATGTTTCTTCTAGGGTATGGAGATGTACACTTTCACATGGAATATATCACATATACAAGCTTATATTTGAATGCATAATCTTACAGTGACTTCTCTGTCCCTACTGCACTGTCTTGTCTCAATTTCTCATCCTCTTTTCCCATGCAACCTGACTAGTCTGGTTGTATGAAGCATCCGTTCACTCCTTCACCTGAAATCCAACCAAAATAACATAAAAATATGATATGCAAGCTTTTAGTTTATCTAGGGTTCTTCATCAACTGAGATAACAAAGCAAGCAGGTTGAGTCTGTTCATTCTTTCCTGACTTTTTTTTGTTTGTCCGAATGAATAGTGCCAGAGTGCAGACTTTGCTTGATGGTTGGTGACAATTCCCTTTCCTTTGTAAATTTCACATTAAATCAATAGATTTCTACCCATGTTGTTAGGAAGGTGTCCTATGGAACTCAACAACAGTTATTTCCAAAAAGGTGTGTACCAAACTGACCTTCCCATAAGATACCTTAGACAGCAGAAGTATTTAGAGGGATGTAAAAGGTTGGAAGATTACATCAACACAGCTCTCTTCCTGCCTCAAGAGCCAGCAGAAACCACTCTGCCCCAGGGTCTGCTGTTTTTACTCTGCAACCAGAAGGTTCTGTGCTGTGCTCTTCTCTGCACAGCTTGAATGCACAACACTCAAACCGAGATGTTCTCTCAGCTGAAGTTCCAGCCCTGTCAAACAGTATCCACTATGTGAAAATCCTCCTCAATCCTCTAATTGACATGCACAATCATTACTAACACGCCCATTTGTTTTCTTTCCCACTATAATGCCAACTGATTTTTTTAAAAATATTTCAATTTATCAGCTGCTTGCCTATTTATTATATTGACCAAAGATGGCAGCAAGCACTTGGGATTTTATATCTCTTGGCTGCTCTCTAGTGGTTGTCTGGATTTGGACAGTCATTAGATAAGTACCACGGAATAAGTGGATTTTCAGTAAAGGGGAGGCTCTGGGCATCCATGTAAGTAATGTAAATTGCCCAAAGAACATTATGGGAAAAGAAGAAATAAGGAACTGGGGATCCTGGTGGCAGTAGCTATTGGGAAGGACATTCCCAGCCAGGCAGGCTTTACAGGAACAAGAGATGAGTTATTTCTGTAACACTTCCAGTTATATGCATTAAGCCAAGGACATCCTAGTCGATTTCAGGGCTTTACATTCTCTTGGGTAACCAGACAACCAACTCCTTTAAAAAGGGGAGAGAGGGCAAGTGGCTATGGTAGCCAGGGTTCTGATCTCCCTCACAACTGAGGGATAGAAATACAGGTCAGAAACCAGATGGAAGAGATGGTCTCACAGGAAACTAGAAGAATCAATTGCCAACACACATCATGTCACTTCAGCACATTCTACAATGCCAGCACACAGCTTCTGAAGTGAGAGAGCACAGAAAAAAAAACCACTTCCCAAGAAGAGCACCCAAGACATTCCCAGGTTGCCTCAGCCGTGGCTAGACAATGTCATACAGGTGACAGCATACAGAAATATTCTCTGCAAACAGATAGTGGCCCTCTTCACCCAAGGTTGCTGTGTAGATCTGCCCAAAACATGGGAATTTGTGACATGGATTGTTTTGGATTTAGCACTATGAAATATAATTATGAGAACCTGTTATCTATCCTATGATGCAATTTATAAGATGATCTTGGATAATATATGCAAAAACATCAATCCTGGTTAAACTGCAAACCACAAACCATATTCAATATTTGCAGATATGTAAAAAATCTGGGGTTCTTAATTGCTCCAAAGAGAGATATTTAGGCTGCAAAATATCTTACTTATTGTTTATATTTTGTTCCCGACTCTTATCCAAGCACTGATAATATTATCTAGTTTGGATAATCTGCAAGAAAACAAGCAAGCTCAGAGAGCACCGAGGATCCCTCATTTCAACCCTGAGGTACAAATATTCCTTTTCATTCTTATCCCGTCTTTCTTCTAAGTCAGCGTTTCTCAACAACATCAACTTTAAGTTGCCTGGACTTCAACTTCCAGAATTCACCAGCTTAGCACTTTGCCAGGGAAATGCTGGAAGTTGATTTCAAACATCTTAAAATTGCTGAAGTTGAGAGCTTCACTCAGAACATTTGAGACCCATTCCTCCATTTTTTTTAACAGCAGCAGTCCTGTGAGGTAGGTTGAGTCAAAGGACACCAACTAGTGATCTAAAGTCACTTAGTAAGCTTCCATGACTGGAGTGGGGAGTGGCTAATATCCAAGTTTTTCCACTCCTCAGCAACTTGTCTTATACCAACTTCCACCTATTCATCCATTCCTCTACCTCAAAACTGTGTGAAAGAGTTCAGTATTAGCTCTCCATGCAGAAATACTCCATATGTTTTCCACACGCCCTAGATCCATGTCAGTTAGTGAATTTGTAATACTTCCTGGAATTTTAAAGTGCTTTAAAGTTAATTTGTATAACAGTAGACTTCTGGTATTACAAAAGCCACTTTTATTCAGCATACTGTAATAAAAAATGCCTTAATGCAGGTTTAATAGCTCAGGAGTTTTTATTCTTCCCCAAATACATCCTTATTTCATTATTTGTGAATAGGTCGTCTCTCACAGTTCATTACACAGCACAATCTAGGTAAAATATTCCCTTGAATTAAGTTTGTTGGAGCCACACAGGCAATCCTTCTTAACAAATGAAACAGTTCAAAACCGGTTCATGTAACTCAGAGCTCCTTCATCCCATTGGAAGCAACTTTCCAGATCTTTCCTGGCCTTGCTGGCTGAGATACAAGAATACAAGTAGGGCCTTCTTGAGATCAGGAGAATTCATTTTTAATTGAACCTACAGGCTTTCCCATTTTCACATGCAGCTGTTCCAGCAGAATATCTGCAACACTGAAAATAATGGGGCACTTAGACAAAGCAGGTCTTCAGGATCTAGCTCTTACCGTGAAAATCTATCCCCAACAGTTGATTGACAAAGTTGATCCCCAAAAGTAGCATAGCATAGCATAGCATAGCATAGCATAGCATAGCATAGCATAGCATAGCATAGCATAGCATAGAACCTTGGAGGTCTTCTAGTCCAACTACGTGCTCAAGCAGGAGAACCTATACCATTTCAGACAAGTGACTGTCCAGTCTCTTCTTTAAAACCTCCAGTGATGAAGCGCCCACAATTTCTGAAAGAAAGCTGTTCCATTGGATAATTGTCTTAGCTGTTAGGAAGTTTCTCCTTAATTCCAGGTTGCTTCTCTGTTTGGTCCAACCATTGTTTCTTGTCCTGCCCTCTGGTGTTTTGGAGAACAGTTTGACGCCCTCTTCTTTGTGGCAGCCCCTCAAATACTGGAATATTGCTATCAGGTCTCCTGTTTCTTCTTTTCTTTAGACTAGCCAAACCCAAGTCCTGCAGCCCTTCTTCATATTTTTTAGTCTCCAGGCCCTTGATCATTTTAGTTGCTCTTCTCTGAACTTTTTCCAAAGTCTCAACATCTTTTTTGTGGTGTGATGACCAAAATTTTCCCTATCCCCCATTAACTGCATGGCTATGACCTATAATATGGGAGGCTAGCTTCACTTTTATTTGGAACGGAATAGTCACTCCTAGAAACTTTAATCAGTCACACCAAGTTGCACGTCCAGGGGGTTAATTAAGGCCCAGCTTCCGTTCGTACTTCTACAGGTGTGATCTTCCCGAACCTACGAGCCCCGCCCCCTACCTGCCAGCTCCCCGAGACCACGCCCACGGGCTCGTCCTGGAACTTGCGCACGTGCGTGCAATCTCCTTGTTCTTATTTGTGAACCAGGAGAAGGCGGCGGCGGCGGGGGGGGGGGCAGAGGGGGTCGATCACAACGAGCCTTTGAACCTGACCCCTCTGCAAACAGAGCGATATCCGAGCTCGCCGCTAGCGCGAGACGGGCTCCCCCAACCTCGTTTCGCAGTGTTGTTGTTTTTTTTTCCTCCCTCAAGTTCCCAAGCCGTTTCCCAAGCAGCCAACCGCGCAAGCTAAAAGGTTTGCCGAGGCAGAAAACTTCGAACTGGCGGCAAACAGCCGCCGCCCCTCGCGTGCCACGTTCGTGGCAGCTAACGCGCCGAGAAACTTGCCGCTCTCTTACTTCCAACTGAGCCCCCCCCCATCCTCCTCATCCGCAAACCCCACCCATTCCTCGACGGCCACGGCGGCCTCCCTTTACCTGCAGGAGACCGTGATCTCCACTTTGGTGGCAGGGATGCTGCCCGTGAGAGGGTCGAAGTCCTGCACCGACGCCATGTCCTCGAGTGTGTCCAGAACGTCCTCCTCCATGGGAGAGCAACGGGGAGAGAGGCGCCTCTCAACAAGTCGCCGAGCGCCGGCTAGCCGGAGAGACCAATCCGCCACTGAGTCCTAATCGTAGCCCCGGCCCAGCGGGCGGGCGGCAGAGCAGGCGCGCTCTCCCTGGTTCCCTTGACGGTACGTGTTTCTTCGCTCAAGCGCCGCTGTGACCCACGCACCAGCCGGGCATAAAGCGCTGGGCGCCGCGGCGGCGAGAAGCCGAGCTCGGAGAGCTAATTGGAGGTGGCGCGCACTCTCTCGCCACGCACGCCGCGATTTCCGAAGAAAAGGGGGCTTTCTTTCCCCAAGTCCATCGAGGGAGATTTCAGGGAAGCTCCACCTCCTTCGGAATAAAAACTCCGGGGCGCCTCAGCCCAGCGCTGCTCCTACGGCAAACAGGGGGAACCCCCACCCAGCCCGATCCCCCGCGGGAACCTCTTTCTGCGCCGGTGCCCGGCGGAGCGTCAGCCTCGGAGCCACGGGAGGGCTGGAAGGAGCCTTCGCAACCGCAGGGCAGCCGCTTAAGCGCGCGGGGATTTGGATCCGCGCTTCTCCAGGGGCGGAGAGCGAAGGCTCTTTGTCTCCGTGCAGGTGCCTGTATCATGGCGTGCGTCTGGCTTAGGAGTTGCAACCTTCTCCAAACCGGGGGGCAGAGTCATAGTCCGAGGCAGCTGGAGGGCACCCGGTCGATGGAAGCTATTTTCCTGTCATTTAAAAAGTAGGCGAACTAGCTAAGTGTCATATGTGGTGCGATTTGAAGGAGACCTTGAATCGGAGACTGGGCTGTGGCCAGGAATGAAAAGGGGAATGAGTGTGGTGATTGTGAGAAGGAATGCATGCATTCCGTACATGTGTGTTCTTAAGACAGCCACACGCACTACTCATACATGAGCGGGCCTAAGCAGACCTGGACAAAGCTCAAAGATTCATGTGTAGGACATAATCAGCTTTCTCACGTGTAAAAGCTTTGGGAAGTATGAGGGTGGCAGAGATAAATCATAGGCAAGGCCATTGGGAGAAGCTCATGCTGTTGGTATGAAGAGCAGGAGGCACTTATGCTAAACTCTACAATAGTCTAGAGTGGTTGTATGTGCCTCCAGGGTATGTGGATGTTTTGTTTTCCTTTTTCTTGTTAAACATCTTAAAACAAGTAATTATACTTTCCAACCACCTGGCTACACTATGCAAGAAAGAGCTATCCAGCACCATCCAGACTAAATGATTGTCAGAAAGCAAGAAATAAATTTAATATGCAAGAGAAATATCAAGACCATACATCAGTTCAATATACATGTCATGATGAATATGTAGAAATTTGTTAAGAAGTATTTGCCCATTTTGGAGATGCCAAAACACAGAGAGATGGCCAAGGCCAAGAGTGGAGCCTGAGATCTCAGCCACAGAATCTTGCAAAACCTTCAAATCAATGTGTGAAGCTCAATCCCACTTCTGTTTTAGGATAAACAGAATCAGAATCAGAGCACTTCTTGATACAAACCCCATCCTCTTCTTATCCCAGAAGCTTCTGTTTGCATGCTTGCCATTTATATTATTATCTTGTTCCTGGGCAACAAAAGAGAGTAATATTATTTGTTTATGAGACTTATATGGCCGTCTGTTTTATGGGCCATAACTCTGGGTGGCTCACAGCAGTGATAAGAACATAAAAAATAGCAAATAATAAAAATAATAAAAACCAACTTTCCCCCTGACCAAGAAAAGCAAAACAACTTTTAAACAACTCCTTTCAATCCATTAAAAAAACACATTAGACACTGGGGGGGGGGGTTGTCACTCTCTAATACACATTCCTAATTTCTCCAGCTCACACCTACAGTATATACATGCTCATCCACATTCCAGGCCTACAGTACATACAACCATTGGTGTTGGGAAATCTGCCCCTTGTGGCTTCTGCTAGGCACAGCTAGGACCTACCAACTCAGAGAATGGGGTTTTGTATCAAGAAGTGCTTTGATTTAGAGTGTGGAGAAAAATGTTCTGTTATTTTTCTTGCTCCAGATAAGCAAGTACTGTAGATATACTAGAAAAAAGCAACAGGATAAAGATTGAGCATATTACAATTCTCTGACTCCACCTTTCTATTTATTATAATATTAGGTCATATTTTTCATGTTTGTTCACATTAGTCTAATGTAACCAAACAGCAGCCTGTGGAAAAAAAAATAAAGTTTGTGAGTGATATAAGCAATATTCATCTGTCCAACCCACAATCACAAAGAAAATGCCTTAAGCATATATTTGACCTAAATAGTTGAAAACAATTTCATGCAAGACAGGATTTTTTTATAAAGGGCTGGTTAGTAAAGGAGTGTATTTTCAACATTTTGCAGCTAAATTGTCATTTATTATTTTTAAAAGATTATTTGAGAATTTGTTTAGTTTTTCTTGCTTTGCTGTACATACTGCTTAGATTTTTTAATATTGCTGAATAGCAGCACAGAAGTCAGAAACGTAAATGTGTAACTTTTTTCTATTAGAAATTATCTACCACATGTTTATATAATTCATATTTTGTTAAATTTCAGTATAAAATAAAACTAACACGAACTGGCTATCAAGGAATGTTGATTATACTGGCAACAAAAATAACACCCACTGTCATGTCATCATGACTGTAATAATAAATTTTCATCCTTTTGCCAAAAATTTCAAGCAAGGTTTCATCTATATCGAATATAATCCAAAAAAGAGATCTGAAGGTGCTTTTTCAAAAGACAATTGGCTTTTTTTTCCTTGAAGACATTTTGTTTCTCATCCAAGAAGCTTCTTCAGTTTAACAGAATTGAACTGAACTGAAGAAGCTTCTTAGATGAGAAGTATTCAATGAAAAACAAAGAAAGCCCAGTTGCCTTTTGAAAAAGCACCTTTGGGACAACCATGACCTGCATGACCGAGGATCTCTATAGACATTCTCCCATTGTATAATATATCTCTTAGGAGCAGTGTTCCTTAGCTGAGGCAACTTGTTGTTTGAACATAATCCCAGAGCAAATGAATTAATTCACAATTTTTGAATAGAGCATTTGCCTCATTCAGTAGTTTATGAATCAAGAGATTGGGCAGTTATCTTCTGTCCATCTAAACTATCTTACTATTTTTTCATTTCACATTTATGTCTCTTCAGTCATTTAACTCCAAGCAGCCTAAGCAAAGGAAAATTAAAAAGTTTCAAAATTATCAAATATACCAAATATATATTATCAACATATGCTCAATATCTTAATAATAGTACAATAAAAGTCCTCACATAATAGCAAGTAACTGGCTTCATCCCAAAGATGGTACATCTCTCATTCTCACATTGGTGTCTTCCTCCAGTTTTAAAACCACACTCTTCTTCCAGTCCAGCTTCCCTCAATATATATTCTACATACAGGCTGAATAAATAAGAGTATCTTATCTCATTCCTTTGCCAACATGGAGTCACTCTGTTTCACCATGTTCTACCTGTACTGCTTCTTACTGACTGCGTACAGGCTTTGCACGAAGATAATATGATATTCTAGAATTTCCATTTTTCTAAGTGCATTTCACAGCTAAATATGATTGACACAATCAAAGACATTTCTATAATCAGTGAAACTCATACTGAATTCTTTTTGGTATCCTTTGGAGTTCTCAATTATTTAGTGTGCCTTCAAATTTGTTGGCATAGCTTGGTTAGAACTTGATTTCTTTCTCTTGCTTCTATAACTATTCCATCAATTCCTGGAGCCTTCTGACTTGGTGACGGCCAGAATGCTAATCTAACTTTATTTTCTAGTACTAGGAGTACTTGTAAGTGAGATATACCTTCTTAGTTATCTTGAATTTGACATTTTTACTGTACAGAATTTCAGTGTACTCCCCCCATGTTTACTTAATCTTCTTTGAATCAATTATAGTATTATCTGTCAATTGACATCTTTTATTACAACATTTCAAACAATTCAATGCTGAAACCTCTTTCTGAGTTCAGAGATCTTTTGAAAGACTTTCCTTGTTTTTCTAATTCTATTTCCATCTTTGATGTCTTATGGATGTTATTGTAGTATTGCTTCTTGTGTCTTCTAATGGTTCTCTGAAAATCTTGATTAAACGCTTTCCTGAGATCTTTGTCTTTCCTGGCTTTGGCTTCTCTTCTTGGCAATCTCAATCATTTTTTCCGATATAGAGTTTGCTATCTTTTGTTTCTTCATTTTTGGCAGTCTCCGTTCACATTCACAACTTTTTTAAATAAATTTCACACTTCCCCTGTTTCTCTATCAGTGAGGTTCAGTATTTCAAAACAATTTTTGATGTTCTCCTTGAAAGTAGTAGGTATTGTATATGCCCAAGATCATATTTTGGAAACTGATTGGCTTCCTTTTTTCTTCTTTAACTTAGAACCTGCCTGTGAGCAGTTTGTGATCTGTTCCGGTCAATTTCCACCCCAAGAAACATACTGTATATGTTGATTCTTTTGTGGCACACAATTTGCCACAAAAGGGCCAAACTGTCTTCACTCTCTTTCTCTCACAAATATCTAGATTGAGTTTACTCTTATTCCTCTGGAATGCACTGTTTTCCTCCTAGAAATCCAGACTACTACATTCCATCACATTTCTACAGTCAGCACCTGGCCATGTCTTTGATGCTGTAATTGGGCACCTCCAATTCATTTTTGCAATAATATAGTCACTTTGATTTCTATGTACTGAAGATGTCTATGCATACAGGCATTCTTCCTATTTGTTTGAAGACAATGTTAGCAATGAAGAATCATTGTGTTGACAGAAATTGATAAATTGTTCTCCTGCTTCATTTCTGTTTCCTGAGTCATATGATCCAATTACATTTGCCACCTTAATATTTCTAACTTTGGCATTCCAGTTTCCATTGGTAATCAGCACATCTTCTTTTTGTATTCTGTTAGTTTCAAACTGAACTTAATCATAAAACTCATCAACCTCCTCTTCTCCTGTGTATAGACCTTAAACTTGGACAATCATCCTGCTAAATAGTTGACCACAAAAACCAATTAATTTTATTCATTTATTGACTATATTGTAGAAGTACTGTTCTTACTTTACATTTCTGAGCTATAAAAGAAATGCCATTCCCTCTTTATTTTTCATGTCCTAAGTAATAAACAATATGATCTTCTGACTGAAAGTGTCAATCAGCTGATGCCTTAATTTCAAGGTGTAATTGATTCATTTCACCTTTCGTTGTGTTGGTCTTTCCCATGATCATGGTACTTACATTCCCACTGTAATTCTATCTTTACAACTTTGGATTTTCTTTTTCTGCATGGCAAATATCAGCAACTAGATATACTCGGCTTGAATCTAGCCATGTCACAAACACCGTTAGTATCATGAAAAACCTTCAGCTCTTTCTCAGAAGCATATTGAATGCCATCTGATCTGAGGGACCCATCATTTGGCACTATATTGTCAATTATTTTATATAATATGGTTTTCTTGGTAAACTGCAAGAATTGTATACCATGCCTTTTCCTGCACAGGACAAAATGATTCCTTTGTTATTATCACTGGAATTATCATCCCCTTCCAACATTTCCCTTTATCACTGCTGCCCTGTATATGTATTTGCTTGCTTTAGCTGGGCAGTAGGGTAACTTTCACTTGGATTACTCTACTGGGAGTATGAATTCCTGGAGTTTCATCCCTCCCAGCAGAGTGAGGCAATACAGCTTGCTTGGATGGGGGACTAAAGACAGAATTTTTATTAAATTGTCTGTGGAGACTAAATGTGTTGGAAATAGAAAATAATGTACAGGTAGTCCTTGATTTATGATTGTAACTGGGACCGGATTTCCAGTGGTAAGTCATTATGGTCATAAGCTGAGGCGCCACAACCTGATTTTTTTTTTTTTGCAACAGTCATTAAGTAAATCATGATGGTTAAATGAATCTGCAGTTATTAAGCATTCTTCCAAATGGACAGTTGTTGCTGGAAGCTGGTAAAAAAAAATACCACATGACTGTGGCACTCTGCAACAGTCCATAAAGGTGAGCTAGTAATAGTACTTAGCACTTAGACTTATATACTGCTTCATAGTGCTTTACATCCCTCTCTAAGCGGTTTACAGAATCAGCATATTGCCCCTAAACAATCTGGGTCCTCATTTTACCAACCTCGGAAGGATGTGAGGCTGAGTCAACCTTGAGTCGGTGAGGATCAAACTGGTGGCAGTCAGTAGAATTAGCCTGGTTGCCAA